GTCTAAATGTGTGTTGAATGTTGAATTTTGATACCGTTGATATCACTAATAATTATTTAGTATACAAAATACAATATTACATTGGTTTGTTGTAGTCTACAAACAAATTACAATTTGATAGTTGATACAAAAAATGTTGAATTTAAAAGAATATGGTACCAGTAGTGACGAAGAAGGTCCATCAAAAGATGAAACACCTCTAGAAACACCTTTTAATAATTCAATAAGTGTTCAAGATTTAAATGCAAAGTTTGCTGTAAATGCAGCTCCAAATGTCTTGCCACCAGTAAGTATTTAAAATATCTATTAATTATGTATTGCTCGACTTCATTTTTACTATTTGAATGTCTATTAATTGGTAATTGAAAAATTACATTTAGCCTATCCTGACCTTACCTAATCTTAAGTAGTAAATACATTGTATTGGAGTGTATACTCATAACAATATTTATAAAGAAATGCGTGTACTTACTTGGTAAAAAATATTAATTTAAAATTTAGATTACACGGTAGGTATGTTATGGAGAGTGATGGACAATGAATATATTATTCTATAAATTGTCTTATTCTTTTTTAGGTTGTATTTTTTCTTATTAAATTGTGTGGTTAACTTCATTGCATTCTGTGGTGTGTGTGAACTTGAATATTTTTCAGAGGGTATTTCCCGGGTATGCCTTTACCTACCCATCACCTCTTAAGAAACCCAGATGCCTCCTTTGCCACACCATTGATTGCATACATTATCAAATATTGTTTTCACAAATGTATTAATTGTTTCTTCAATTTTTTCATCATCCATATCTAATTGGACACAGCAACATACAGGTATGGCACCCCTTTGAGCTTAAAAAGATAGGCCTGCCAAATATGGTATATTCTTCTAAATATGTATTAGTTAGGTACTCTATAGCTTGTCAAAAAAAGTACTGATTCAATCTAATGTAATCCGAACTAGTTATTTTTATAAATATTATAGGTATTCTAAATATATATTTAGCCATGGTTATTATGGTTGAACTCATTGACGGAGGAGAGGGTAGCAATGTACAGTCCATTTGTATTATATCTATGATAATAAAACTAAATATATTATATTTATTTATTAGGGACACGATACATCAGTTCAGTATCTTGATGTTGGAACAAAAGAAATCACTCGGAATATGAAGTATGAAGAGCTTTTTACACCAGTTGCAGGACCAGAAAATCCTTTCTTGACTCAACAACAAAAAGCCCCTAAGAACATGATGACTGGATTTGTTGAAAAAGCACACATTAATGATTTCATGTTTGAAACTCAAAGAAGAACATTTCATAGTTTCGGTATGTTAAAAATAAATAAAAAAACTAGAATTATTATTGTAAAAGTATTTTAAAAAGGAATTGAAATGGTTAACTATTTATATATTATTTAATTATTATATTTAAATTTATTACGTTATCTGTAAAATTAGGTTATGCTTTGGATCCTGCAGTTGATTCCAATGAAATTATTGGTCGTAAGCCTGATGATACTAATAAATTTAAAACAGTTTTCGAATCTGTGCCAAAGAGGCCAGCTGATAAGAGAAAACGTCATAAAAATGACAAACCAGAAGATATTGATGGATATCTAGGACCTTGGGGATGTTATGTTGATGAAGAGAAAATATCAAAACCAGAAGGAGTAAGAAAATGTCTTGTTTAGTTAAAGTGTTTTTGAAATTCCTTCTATTTATTGATTTTTTTAAACTTATTATTTATCATATTTTAATAAATTTATTATATATTGTTAATTATTTGTTTATAGGAAGATGCAATTGCTATTGAAGAATTTCTTGCAAAAAAACATAAACGCGGCAAAAAAGTGGAAGATAAAAGCTTCAAAGAAAAATCAATTTTGCATAGTAATTTTATATTAAATAGTAATTTATAAATTTCAGTTTTAAATTTAAAATTTGTTTTACAGTTAAAGATCCTATTGACTACCAAGGACGTTCATTTTTACATATTCCACAAGATGTTGGTGTTAATCTTAAATCAAATGCACCTCCCGATAGATGTTTCCTTCCTAAAGCACATATACATACATGGCAGGGTCATACTAAAGGTATATCAGCTATTAGATGGTTTCCAAGGTCTGCACATTTACTTATGTCTTGCAGCATGGATTGTAGAGTTAAGGTATCTATTTAGTTATTACATTTACTTTACATTTCTGTTTGTGTGGTGTATTAAAAATTAAATTTATTTTTAAGTTGTGGGATGTCTATAGAGATAGAAAGTGTATTCGAACTTACATAGGTCATACACAGGCAGTCAGGGATACATGTTTTAACAATAAAGGAACAAAATTTTTATCAGCAGGTATGATATATTTTATTTTACATCATACTTTTTAGGTATTATTTTAATTTAAAATTAATAACAAACATTATTATTTACTTAGCTTATGATCGGTATGTCAAATTATGGGACACGGAAACTGGGGACTGCATAAAAAGTTTTACAAATCATAAAGTATTGTATTGTGTTAAATTCAATCCAGAAGAAGAGAAACAACATTTATTTGTTGCTGGTACTGCTGATAAGAAAATTGTTTGTGTGAGTAAAAAGTTATTTATTTATATCCTTTTTGATAAAAAAAATATAGTTACATTTATGATGTTAGTAATTAACACATTTATATATGATTATAGTGGGACACTAGATCAGGAAATATTGTTCAAGAATATGAACGACATTTAGGAGCAGTAAATAGTATCACTTTTGTTGATGAAAATAGACGATTTGTCACAACGTCTGATGATAAAAGTCTACGCGTATGGGAATGGTACGTGCTTAAAAATTATTTTACATTTTCTTTATGATTATACAGATTAACACATTTAAACAGTTTAGTACTAAAAATGATTGGGTTTTAATTAAAAACGAGGAAAAAGTATTTTAGTCAAAACAAAACAAGTTAATAATTTAAAAATTGTATTTAGGGACATACCAGTGGATATGAAATATATAGCTGATCCAACCATGCATTCAATGCCGAGTGTAACAATTGCACCAAATAAAAAATGGCTAGCATGTCAAAGTATGGATAATAAAATAGTTATATTCTCGGCAATGAATCGTTTCAAAGTGAATAGAAAAAAGAGTTTTTCTGGTCATATGGTAGCTGGATATGCTTGTTCTTTAGACTTTTCACCTGATATGAGGTACAAATTACAAATTGTTCATGTTTCAAACATTGAATGTTATTTAACTTTAATTATTTATTTATTGGTTTAGTTACCTAGTCTCAGGAGATGCAGATGGAAAAGTGTTTATTTGGGATTGGAAAACAAGTCGTTTGTATACAAAATGGAAAGCTCACGACAATGTGTGTATTGCTGCATTATGGCATCCACACGAACCTAGTAAAGTAGCCACTGCTGGATGGGATGGACTGATCAAATATTGGGATTAACAAAGATCTACAGTGAATTTATTTTGGGTATCTTTAGTGGTGTGAGTCACCTATGATTTGTATCATAAGATTCTCAATCATGTAATATATATATATATATATAAATGCTATTTGACAACTATTATAATTACATTTTTTAAGAATTTGTTTGTACCTATATTATTTCTTATTAAATCCTATAAATATCAGCTAATATCATTGAGTATATTATCAATCTTAATATTAATTTTAAGTAGTTTTATGTATATATGAATAAACTTTTTTGATTAAATCACAGATTATATTAATATAATACTAATATAATCTGTGTTTAAATGTTACAATTATGCATTAAAAAAATGATAATCAATATAATATTCTTCATATTGTAATAATATAGTATACAACTTGGGTTAGAACATAAGTCAGTGAACTATTCAGTTCTTAAAAGTTTTATCTCAAAATTGTAATCGTATAAAAATATTCATCATAGCTTTGTTCATGGTTATATAAGATATAGGCCACAATACTACTAATATAATTTAAAAACAATGAAACTATGAAATTTACTTAACGTTTTTTCTTATGATTATGAAATTAAGCTATTTACTTTGGATAAGATATATTTTGAGAATGTTATGTGATCAAATAACTAAGACCCCATTTCATGTTTAGAGATTGCAAAAGAAACGCCACTGTCATACAACATAAAATAAGTTAAAACAGGTACTATAGACTTGCAGTCTGCGGACTTGAATATTTTTAAATTTTTATTTGCACTGTAAATAAGTACAAAACAACAGGAAACTCATTCTGCTGTAAAGTAGGTACCATAGATTAAATATACTAGTATATTTAATCTATGTAGGTACTGAGTGTTGTTGGCCATTAAGCATATTACCGTTACAAATGAGTTAAATTTATACAATGGTTTATCATTGAGTATAAAAAATGGTTTTGTTTGTATGTTAGAATATTTTATACTTTAGCATTAGTAATACAGGTAAATTGGAGTAATTTTTGACAAAAAAAAAAAAAAATTAAACTTCAATTTAGGACTGATGTAATATATATATATATATTAGGGGTGGTCGGCAGAGTTGCGAGCCGCATAGTAAATTGGAAACTATGTAAGGACCAAGATTCAAGAGCAGGAAAATATAACAATAAGACAAAAAAGTAAGATGTGTAGGTGGCGAACACATTCATGTTGTTTAAAATTATTCAAATAAATTGTTTCTAAAATATCTAATTGCTGAAGACTATAAGATCATAAATATTAGTATTCAGTTTTTAGGAATATGTAATTAAATCTAGGTTGTTTGTATTAACTTTACTTTTACATACATAATTACCTAAATAATAAGTATACAATTAAAAATACATCTTTTGAGGCTACATTTCCTATACCAATTAGTGGAAACCAGTGTATGCATACAACTATCAGCAAAAAACCAAAGTCCTCAGATAGAATCTGATGAAGCATGTTTTGTAGTAGGGATGCTCAAGAATAAAGGAGTTTTTGTCTGTACTCTCTAGGGTACAGAGGATAATCAATGATTAAATAAACAAAGTTACATTTCACCACGAGATAATAAATTTAATTATTTCATGAATTTTACAATTATATTCGTACACATATGTCAATTATTTCAAAAATGAATTAATTTTAGTCATACTGTTATATTGTAATAGTTGCATATGTTTTAAAAATTCACAAGATATAATTTTTTGTTTTCCATATTAAATTTATAGTTAGAAACTTAGGAATGAGTACTTTTGGCATGATTTCTTGATACTACTGTTATGTAGTCTCCAATTAGTATATTAGAGTTTTTGGTTCTAATTTTTAAAAGCTTTAACCTTTTTATAGACACCAATATTTTAATTGCACAGTATTCAATTTAATTTCCTTACTTTCAAACTTGAGATCATTCTGGTTTGAAAATACAGGTAACAAATTCTGTGTAATCCATGAGTACTTTTAAAAATGAGGTAAACACACTTTGCCAGCAAATAACTCAGATATAACAGTTACCCAGAGTGACAACACAAATAATATATATGAAATGCCAACTTGATGACTGTTTGGTAGTTGATATGGTTGACCGCCTATCTCTGGAATATGAAAACCCATGGGAAACACGACAGCAGCAAAACAAAATAGTACCACTGAAAAACAAATATTTATAAGTTTATGTAACTTCTGAAATATAATATAAAATTTATCTTACTGGCAGTAAATCCTACCCAACGTGCATATGGTATGACATTTCGGTCCCAATGTGAAGAAGCCAGCAAAATTATGGTGGTAGTTATACATATACACCCGATGAAAATACTGACTAAAGCCAATAACCATTCGAGTCTCAGATCGGGAGTGAAACACACTTGTGGTCTGTTAAAGAGGGTCATACACGTCCACATTAATCCCAATCTGGTGTCACCTAGAAACACATTTTCTTAATATTAGTATCACAAGAATTAATATCTGTATTTACTAATGCTGCTAAAAATAATTATAAGCTAATAATCACCTCCTACATCGGTTATGATCCAGTCAGGCATAGCCAAACTGACAATTGCAAATACATCAGCCAATAAGAATAAAGTCCCCGAAATAACAGTAAGTTTGTCCATTTTAAAGTTTTGCAATTTCAACCCATAATAAATAAAAGATACCTCCAAGTGTCACAAAATGTTTCATAATTATTGATTAATACTATTTACGCATTTCTCCTATTGTTATACTGCTGTAGTAGGATACATATTAAGTTGTACTGTAATAGTTTAATCTGGAACTGACAAAATATACATACTCAATACTAAAAATTCTAAAATAATAAAATTGATAATAATTAATAATATTATTATTTATTATGTTAATGATAGTAAAGTGATAGTGTTATCACAGAATATTCTTTAATCGTGTTTGATTGTTTGGCGGTGCACCGCGGTGGTATAAAATGGCGACGGCTGTTGTTAGTAGTGCGCAAGCGCGGTTTAATGCTGCGTAGGTGATCATGCGCAGAATGGCCGCGCGCCCGTCGGACTGTACAACAACAATAACTCATCGCGAATCGCGATAACCACAGCATCGCTATGATAACCGTATTGTCCACAGCAGCAGCAGCTCTACCATAGACCATAGTCCCCATAACATTAATTTATTATTATAATTTAATTTTCATATTATTTGATTGTTATTTGTTAGTAGTTGTTTGTGATATAGGTACACATTACATTGTCAATATTGTAATATTAACTAAATATTATATGGTCACGTCGTCAACGATAATGTACGTGGTTTACTTTTATGATTTCGTCGTGAATTACGGTGGTAAAATTCGATCGCGCCCGACCATTGAGGACTGACCGATTCTATTTGTCGTTATCCTTGGCCCTTGTCCGTTGTCGTCGTGTCGGGACCTGGTACTTATCAATAATAAAAATTATCGCAATTGTCCATCGGCTACCACACGTTATTAAATTGCCTTTTCGGGTCGAACAAAACATTTAAATTATTAACTGTCTTGGAATGACGACGGACGGTCGCACGCTGATGTTCGAGGAACAGTTGGAAACGTCCGGCGAAGTGGCCGCCGCTTGATCGCAGAACCATGACGCCGTTGAACCATGGACCGCGCCGGACCACAGCCGCCGCCCAGCGCCTGCAACCCAACGCTGTCGGTGGACAGTTCCAAGGGACGTCTGGTGGTCGACCGGATGGACTCCATCAGGAACCTGTTCGGGTGTGAGCTGCGGATCGTCAACGATGGTGGCGGGACGTCCTCGGCGGCGGTGGTTTTCGCCGTCACCAGGCTGGACGAATACGACAAGGTGCCGGACGATCGTCTAATCGATCGGCTAAAGGTAGATGACGTCTTATTTTTAATGATCTTACTCTTCATTATAACTACTATACGAGTCCTGCATGGTCGCCGATCTTTAGCTTTTTAAAAATAAAAAAACCCGTTGTTCCACCTCGACGTCTATAATTGCCGTGTCTTGCCGGCCGATTAGTATACGATTCGTGTTCTGAACTCTAAAGCCTATATACGTGTACAACGTGATTTTGACGGTCAGCTAGCTGCAGTTGTGCAATAGGTGCACGAAACGAAAACGCAATATATTGTTCGTTCGATTCGTTTGGAAGCCAGTCCCCGCCATATTTTGCCACTTGGACTGCGATTTGACTATATACCTACTACAGACAATAATTGTATAATATGTTTACAAGAATTCGACTTTGTAATTTTAAATATTTATGGACTGGTTAAATGATCGTATAATAGTGCCGTAATAATGGTGATTGGTGGGGATCTGATTGATCTGAGTGTTGAATACGGCCCACCCCGACCCCACTTTTGTTTTTTAATCATTATAATATTGAAACAAAAAGTAATTTTTTTTATACATTTCGAACTATCGGTCTGAGAAACTCCCGAATATCTCTACAGTAAAATCCGAGTATAATATAATATGCAACTTTGATAGTTTTCTCCTCATGTCTTCCTCCTATCACGTCATTTTCCTATGGTACCTAAGCACCTATTCATGCTGTTATTGATATCTAGAGGGGTAGAAGACGTTCTAAAATAATTCGTTCGAAAAAGCTAGGTAAAGTAGATCTGTTATGTATGGCATGATTATTATTTTTTTTTTTAATATTGCCTTCTTTGTAATTAGTTTTGCTTGAAATAAAGTATTTAGTGTATTATTTTATACTCCATTTTGAAAAATGTTCATATAAAAATAATGTTTGATATGTTTTTATATATGCATTCATAAAATATATTAAAATGTAAACAAAATATTGATCCCCCTCCCCCATTTCCTAGTCTTGATTACGACACTGCACATTACGTTACAGTAAATATTATCACACGTATGTATATATTAAGTTTATATACCTACTAATACATTAATTAGTATAGCTGCCGGTAGACATATATATAAATATTTGTGGCCGAAAAACCATGTGATGTGCACACAATCAATATTGGATAACTGTAGCCCTAGGTACCTATAGTAAATTGTGATGTGAAGTGATGTTATAATATTACACTACCGTCTACCGATGGTGTTTTATCAATAAATAATTATTTTCATATTGTGTAGCCGCCGCAGCGTCCGAGCTTTTAATTTTTTTATGTGCCTGCTGTGTTGCATTACGAAATCTACTCGCAGGTCAGAAATAATATAATATTGTAATGCATATATTTGATTAATTATCACGCTTGTTGTGTGAACAGGTACCTAGAAATCAATATTTCACCGAATCCTGTTACACATAAAAGCACAATAGAGACATAAGTCTGCCATTCATATTCATGTATAAAAACATGCCGCAACGTTGTACACATACTATTATAAGCACGTGAAAGGTACCCAAGTACATCCTGTTCGTGTGTGTGTGATTTACTTTCCCTTTCGATAATGGCCTAAATCGTTATTTAGAATCCATCTGTGCGTCCATAGAACGTCCGTAATTGGATTGGTGTGTATAGTTTGATGTCGGTACAGATTTTTGGGTGTTTTTTTGACATTTTTTTTCTACCCGATTGCCACTTACGATTTTCTAAATATATGTTCAGTAAATTACATTTTTTTAACAAATTCTGTTTATAACCTACCAGTCCTTAGACTATTCCTGCATAATATTTATCTAGCGTATTTTTTCCTTGACTAAGCGCATTCGTTTTTCTTATTTTCAATTCAAATCAAATTCAATGGTGCGTGACTGCTTCTCGGGAGTAGGTTTCCCTTAATTCCCTATATTTCCACAAAATTTAATGTAGCTCTTTTTAAAAATTAGATCATGTCTGGTTAGTTTTGTCTATAACCAATTTTGTGATTTAAATCATTTAGCAAACATTTAGACAAATAATTGTATAAGAACATTATGAACTTAATATTTTTCAATAGTTAGGACATAATATTTAATATTCGTTATGTAAACTATAAAGATCCCCTTACATTTCCTATGCACGATTATTTTCCTGTGTGTACCTATTTATTAAAGCCTTGAAAAAACCAGTACACTCACCTATATAGGTAAACTACTTAATTTCGATTATTTTTAGCTCGTACCAAGGTGATGTATTTCTCTTTATGTACGTATATGACGTATAATTCATACTATATAATATATATATATATACTGATTTATTTTTAATTGCTTTGGAACTATATTATAATATTCAACCAATTTTTGAAATCACTATTTTATAATGTGTATATTGCAAACAACCCTATGTAAATTTTTCTTGTTCAAATTTTTATCGAATAAAATAAATCATTATTCTGCTTCTTCGGCTTTTTACAGGCCCTCCATTTTTCCCTATCCTTTTCAGTCTTTTTTTGCATTCCTTACCCCCAATAGTCTCAGATCTTCCTTCATTCTGTCTGCCCTTCTTTGCGTAGGACGCCGTCTGGGTCTCTTTGTGTTTGGTTTCCACTCTGTTATTTGTCAAATAAGTGCTTCTGAAGGCTGATTTCCATACATGCCCAGACCAACTTATTCGCGTACTTTTCAAGGTCCCAACAATGCTAGGCTTATTTTATAGATTTTCCGAATTTCCGTTGTTCCGTATTTTATACTCTTTATAGTTGTTTCTTTTTGGGCAGGATATTTTCCTCAGTATCTTTCTCTAATTCGCATTTAACTTTTTTTCGTCAGATTTTGTCCCTGCATGAATATATACAGCTATGAGATCATTAAAATAATATATATTTTATACATGCTAACTACGAATATATAGAATGGCATAAATTGTTTTTAAATTTTTGAGTTTTAGGTATTATAATATCAAATGCGCGCTAGCAAGGTAACTAGATGGTAAATTATCAATTTATAATATTATAATCTTGAACAGTGAAAGTGTTTATAAATGTTGGTGTCGTTGAGACAGATGTATGGACCTATACTATTGAACATAATGTTCTGTTGATAGGGTATTGAAGCTTGTAACCTATGAACATAACTATAGTATTATATCGTCACCTTTATTATATATAATTACATCGTATATGTGGAAATAAAAACTTTTCGATCACTTTGGGTATATGAAATCATGTACTATTATTTATATCAAACGAATAAATACTCTTACTTGACGGTGTATAGTATGTAGCTGCATTAAGTTATTTTTCAGCTGGCTTTACCAGAGAACAAATCAGTTTTCATAAGAATAATAAACCTATTCTAACTTACTTACAAGGAAAAAGATATCATTGCAGGCTTTGCAATAATATTTTCAGCTGGTTTCCCGTTAGAAACAATTGTTTTACACCCCTTGCAGATTAATAATACGCGTATTGATAACAACTTAAAATTGTATAATAATATGGATTCCATAATATGCATTGGCATTAAAATGTTGAATTTTAATACCGAAATTTTTGTTTGATGTTACTATGTTATGAAATTTTGTAAATTATGGTAGTACTACATCGTTTCCTCTGAGTTATCTTCAATTGCGTTAAAAATATTTACTTAGGTAGGTACCTAATATATCGGTTTCTTTTTTTGGTACAACAGAAGGTTGTGGGCGTTTTTACAGTGCTCGCTTTCCAAACTCAGCGATTAAATTTTTGTTGCATAGGAATTATGCTTCGATTGTCTTATTGTAAATATATAATTTATATAAAAAAAAAATAGTCAGGTAAATTAAAAATCATTGTGGTTTCTACAAGACAATATTTTTTTTACAGTAATATTTTTTACTGCTACTGGTAAAAACCAAATTCTAAATAATAAAGTGTATGATCATCAATTAAGAAATCAGATTATTAAAGTAATACATTATTATACCTAATGTTAAATTATCAACAGTTTCTAATTACTAGTAAAATCAACTGTATTAATTTCCATGCTGAAATATTATATATTATATAGTGATGAATAGGCACCTACATGTGTATGTATGTATGTACAGTTGTCATAATAAATTTAATTCATTTTTTAAAAATCATTTATTACATCTAAATACCTAAAATCTATTAAATTGTTTGAATAAATATCCTCCCCTGTTAAATGCGGTAGGTACTATTAATGATTCTTGCATTGGTAACATGGGCTTCAGAATCGAAATAAAAAACACTATATAAGGATGACATCGTATTATGTGTACATTGTATATGCAACAAAAAGCATTGTAGTCATTGGGTTTTAACCAGCTATATTAGTCAGATATTTACATACTATATGTACCTGTATTATAGATTTGACGAATGTACGAAATTTAAAATATGAATCCGTTATCGGTTGTCATATTGTCACGGACCAATATGTTTAGAAGGTCATATGTTATACTTGACTTTACTTGATGAACACTTTGGACACTTTCTCTGAGGATTAAAATCAACTTCTTTGATGCAATTGTTATAATAGCATGAAAAAAACTATTGGGTCGTGCAAAACGTTATTATTATAATATGGTTTGAAAGCAAAATAGAAACGTTCACACAATTTCGTAAAAGTATCATAATGTAGAAATAATTTTAATTTTAAATAAGTACATCTATTATCTACAGTTTGTTTATATTATAGTTTATAATTATATTTATCGTCGAGTAAGAAAACTACATACCTATTCTTAACTTGGATTGAATTATAAGTAGTGCGTATGA